GGGCAGAGTGCATTTCTAGAACAAGGAGACATTTTTCTGATGTAGGTGTCCCAGCATAATTATTCAAAAGGCGCTTTCTTATTTTGTGTTAATCTTTATGAATTTTCTATCTATAAATATAGTGTGGTCTTCTCACAGCATGTATACTGGGCTTGCCTGGACTTATCAGAGGGCAAAAAACTCATGACAAATGGCTAACTGAAGTGTTCATTAACATATCAAATCGGACTTTTTTTTGCTAGGTGTTCTTTTGGCCTCTGGGTTCTAGATTCCTTGGCCTCCACCTCTCTCGTCTTCTCTTCATTTCTCTCTCCCCTCTCATGGACCAGTTCATTATAGGCCCTACCAGATGCCTCTGGCTATTTTCTCCCTCATACCTATAATAAACCTTTTCCTCAAACTACATCTTGGAGCAGTCTGTCCTCATTTTTCATTCAGACCTAAGGTGTAACATTAACAACTAAACACATGAAGACACATTTCAGAATTCTGTATTTACAACAGAGTGCATACATCTCAGGAAAATTAATGGCGAGTAAGACTTTGCTCAGTAATTGTTAATATTTACAACCATAACTGTGGTGCTTCATAACATATATTTTCTGGTTCAATCAAATCCACAAAGGTTCCTCATATGACTAATATCTACAAAGTTCTCTGGTGAAGCCTATTCCTCGGGCCAAAAGCTACTCGAATAATACGCAAGTAGTGCACCAGAGTGTTCTGATCCCGCACTTTGGCTACACCCTATGCTCTGACGTAAAAGCCTATTCTTAAGGCAGAACTCTGGCCATTTCCGTCTCTTCTCCTCTGCTTCCCTCACTGGAGGTGCGCACCTCTCCAACCCCACCGCCCCATCTCTGTCTTGCCCTCTTTCTCTCCCTCCTCACCAAAACCAAACAAACAAACAAAAAAAAAAACCAACAATAACAAAAAACTCGTCACTGAGCACTGTCTGCATAGCCTCTCTGTCTTTCACCAGCCTTGGATCTACCCGTGAGAACCACCCGCCAACCCGTGTAATAAGCACGTGTAAAATCACAACACAGGGAAGTTAGAAAAGCACAGGTGAAGTTCCATTCTAGGAGCGTTGTAACTGGTACAGTATCAAGAAACTCCGTTTGCAAACTACAGACACTGCAGATGCTCTACGAGATTATATGGTGGAAACATTCTGGCAACCATAAAAGAAAAAAATCACGATAAACCCCACTTCATAGGATCTCAACCTCACCGACAACTGAACGATGTCCACAACAGAATTTTGGAAGCTGTGTCCTTCTGAGCAGCATCCGCGCGCACACCCCGGTCCCTCCCCTCCCGTGTCCCAGCCCCGCAGCTCCTCTGACCTGGGAGGTTCCAGGGCCGCCGGGCTGCGGTTCCCGCCACTGCTCTGCTGACTGGTGACTTTCCCAGGCCGCCCTGTGCGGCGACGGCGGCGACAGCGGCTCCGGGGAGATTTCGTGTCCCCGAATACCCGGCCGGGTCTTCCTCACGTAGTTCCGGAAACTCAGTTCCAGGAGTCCATTAGGGAACGGTGAAATTTCCTGTCCCTAGTCCCGCCCAATACGCCCCAGTTCCGCTTACGTACTTCCTCCAACGCGCCAAGCTCCCGGTCTTTTTCTTACTTTGTTATCTAAGTCCACCCCGCTGTTTATTTTCTACTAAAGGCCAATGATCAGACAGGTGTCGCGCCCCATCAGGGACCCGCCCCTCCACTCCATCTCAGGCTGCCTTCCACACAGCTCCAGCTGTCAGGCTGCCCTGCACCCGCTCTGCACAGCCTCCCCACATGCTCGCTGCCAGCCTGGACCAGAACTGGGTCTAGGTGGACGCTGCACCCTGGTATCTGACCCTGTGTTCTGACCCCATCAGATACAAGTTATCCCGCCTAAGTTCTCATCTTGAGATACCAGCTTCCTGGGTTAAAACACAGCAAAAGGAAAACAAACGCCCTGAATTCTGTTGCTAAAGCCCCATCCCCAAAACAAATTAAAACTAAGATAAAACACCCTTGGCTCAAAACATAAACCATATCTGTATCCCCTAAAGAAAGAAAGTTAAATGATATCCAATATACAGAACTCAAAAACCAGAGTCATGTCCAAAATGCTCAAAACATGTAAAGCAAGTGAATCAACTCAAAGAAGATTGGAACAAAATGACCCGTGGACAAGAAAACACTAGCAAATGCCTGAAGGATGCAAAGACATTGTAGGGTATGAATATTAAATTCAATAAGT